GGGTACAGGTACTACAGAAATAATCCTTCTCAGAGACCCTGGGCCCATTTTTAATTACCAACGGAAGACCCCATCTGCTGGTGGGGGCGGGGGGGGGGGGACAACCCTGCCAGGCGGGCTATGAACCGGGCCGCCCGGGTCACCTAGGTGGTTGCCTGGGCGGCCTGGCTGGCAACGGCCAGGGAAGGTGCCTACAGAGAAAGGAAAAAAGAAAACAATCTGAAAAAAAAATATTGCAAGGAAAATGAGCGAGAGCGATACGCATAACAACGAATTGCAATGACGAACTGAAGACGAGATTGTCGTTTACAAGCAGAAAGCACATCGCACTGAGATAAAAGCCAAATGAGAGCAATACAATGAACTCAAACGTCTATGTCCCACTCTCTCACCGCACCAACATAGTATTCAAAGTCTACCTTTCTTGATTGGCGCTCAGCGCCCAGCCTATCCTACTCAGCACCTGGACTACCGTCTTAACCCGAAAATAAGGTACGTACCTTGTATTCAAGTTACCTCCGAACAACGGCTTCTAAGAAATCGCTGTTAAATTTTCGAATAGAAGGTACCCTCGATTGCAAGGTACGTACCTCGTATTTGAATACAAGATACGTACCTTGTATTCGAGGTGCGCCTTGTAACTGTTACGTAACACACACTCTCTCTCTCTCTCTCGCGCGCGCGCGCACGTGTTCGCTGTCCACGCACGCACCTGCTTCCACGCACGGGCACTATGCCCTCTCTCTCTCTCTCACACACACATGCACACACTCGAACACACGTAATGTTTGAATGCATGCCGGATAGTGAGCACGCAGCGCAGTCAATGTGCTCTTAAAACAAAAAAAAAAAACAGGCTGCAGCCCTGTTTTCGATTCGTGATATCTCTAATACTCTAATACTCTTAAAAAAAACACGCCGCGTCCCACCCGAGCCCTCGTGCACAGTGTTGGGAAAGCACGGAGCGGGCCCACGGGCCCTGCAGGGAGTGGCCGAGCAGCACGAATCAGGAGGCCAACGAAACAGCGTGAGGCGGTGGGGCGGGCCGAAATGGTGTGAGGCAGCGCAGGGGGAGGAGCCGGGGGCAGGTGGGAACGAGCTGACAGGCCGCGCGGGGGCCGAAACGGTGCGAAGCGGCGCAGCCGGTGTGAAACCAGAGGCCCAGGGGAGGAGCCCGGGCCAGGGGGGAACGGGCCGCCGACCGAGGTACACACGGCCGAGCAGCTGCAGCAGGCTGACGCAGGCGGGCTGCGCAGGCCAAGCGGCGCGAGACGGTCGGGTCGGTGTGAAACGGGAGGAAAGGTGCAGCGGGAGCCGGGGGTAGCAGAATTGGATGTGGAGAGAGAGAGAGAGAGAGAGCGAGAGCAAGAGCGAGAGCGAGAGAGAGAGAGAGAGAGAGAGAGAGAGAGAGAGAGAGAGAGAGAGAGAGAGAGAGAGAGAGAGAG